CGTGGTGCCGGAGTAGGTGGAATCAATATCACCAAACTTGATGTTGGAGAAGATGACGGAAGCGTTGGCCTGTTGCGATTCGACGTCGGCGGGCTTGCCAGAGTCGGTTGGGCAGGTACCACGGGCAGCACCGGGGTTGGTCGAGTCGGTGGGGTAGGTGGAGTCGAGCCATAACATGTTGACCTCGTGGTCGTCCCAGACGGAGAGAACCAAGACCATACCCCTGGTCATAGAAGCATCCATGGGAGAGAAACCGCCCTTGTTGCCAAAGTCGTTGTTATCACCGAAGGCGGTCTTCTGAGCGCTGCAGAATTCTTCGGTGATGGAGTCGTAGGGAGCCATACCGGCGATGTTGGTCTTGGAGTTTCCGATGACCTTGTTGTTTTGGACATAGAGACGGCGGATCTCCTTGAGAGCACCATTGGCGGTGCCGTCGCTGGTGATGAATTGAGTGACGACGGTGATCTTCTTGGTGGTATCGACCGTGGAACCGGGGCCGAGGAAGGAGGTGTCACCCATGCGGTAGGAGTTGAAATCGCATCCGTCTTTGTCGCAAACTCCACCGTAGCGGTTGGAACCGTCGCCGCAGTCGTTGCCTTCGCAGCGAGTTTGACCAGTGACAGTGCAGCCGTGGGGAGTGTAGGCGGAAGCGTACTTGTTGGCCTCCCAGATATCCATCTCACTGCAGCAGGTTCCGTACTTGCCCTTACCGGCGTTAGGATCGTTTGGAGAACTAGACCAGCCATCGACGTTGGCCTGTCCGCCGTGATCAGTAAGTGGAAACAAAAAAAGCAATTTGATTGAGGCTCACCTCGCCATTGATGAACTTGATGTCGTGGGGGCATTGCGAGTCGCAGTATCCAGTTCCGTACTTGGCACCGGCCTTGTTGTTGGTATACTTCGACTTGCCTCCGTCAGCGTCCATCTCGACAAAGTAGAGGGCACCGTTGAGACCGCATCCGAGGTTCGACATGTCGACGTCGAACGTGAACTCTTGGTTCTTCAGCTTGAACATCTGGTAGGCAGAGTCAGAGGCCATGAGGTAGACACGAGAGCCGACGTTGGAGCCAGTCTTGAACTTGAGGGTCAAGGCATTGCCCGAGGTGGTGATACCGTAAGTACCAGAATAGTCGGCACCATCCAAGGCGCAGTTTTTGGCGCAGGTGACACCATCGGGGCAGAGGGAGGTATCGAAGGAACTGCCCGTGAAGCAGTTGGTATAACCGGAGGTGGTGTGGAGCCAGCGCCAGTTAGAATCGAGAGTGACGGAACCGGCTTGGTTAGAGCAGCCACCAGACTTGGTGCACTTTTGCCAGCTGAGAGAAGGGTGGTTCTCAGCGGTCTGAGTGCCAACCTGCTGGGCGGCGACAAGAGAAACGAGAGAGAGGAGAGAAGTGAATGTGGCTGAGAGCTTCATACTGGGAGGAAATTTGGCCAAGTGGCTTGGGATGTTGTTCAAGACGCTTGGTGCGACTAGGGGTTTTTAAACCAACTACCCCAACGACGTAGACGCGGAAAATATCCGTAGTACCGAGTGGTAGAATCGTAGTAGCGGCGAAAAAACTATACAGAAGCAACTTTGTGCTGTTAGAAACCTCATGAGTGTGTCGACTAGCGGATGAATATAGGAGCCTACGAGGTCATGCTGGTATTCGTTCATTCCGAGGATAAAATCATCTCGAGTGACGCTTGAAATGAGATATCGACATCTCGTTGTAGGTTCCGAGATGGATGGTACCTTTAATCGCGGACTTTGATAGTTTTACGGGGTAAACAAGGGTTTACCGCCTTATCGTTGAGCTTGAATAGCCAAAGAGTCTTCTAACGGCCATATTTTACTTCTTACAGGTACCCGCATCTATATTTTTGCGGGAGCTTGAGCCGATGGCAATGAGAAGGTCAGAAGATAAACAATGTTTGGCCTCAACCACAAACGAGAGGCGACCGCTTCTCCGCAATTTCCCCATCCATGCGTTGTGCCACACTAACGACGGCCAATCATCGCCTGGAAACAATATTCGGGCTTTTATCCTACTTGACGAGGAAGTAAACAAAGAACTGTTTTCGTTTGCGAGCCAATTCAGATATCAACACTGGAGGCCACTCTGGGCATGTCTGCTGTTTTACCTTGGCGAATAGTCGTCAATTCTAACTCAATCCTGGAAATCACGGTCCCAGTATCCCGAGGGTCGGATTCGCCAAGCCCGCGGCCATCTCGATGTTTACTCCAGTGTACACACGCCGCGCGGCTACAGTGATGGTAAAATTTATCACCTCCATCTAAAATTTTTATGAAAACTGTAAGCATGAAATTACTAGACAAATATAAAGTTTATCTGATGCCTACCAGCGTTGGACGTTCGTTCCCTTGGCAGGACCAGACACACTCGACGCCTCACTCTTTTAACTGCTTGGATATCTCTGTATCTTTCATTCGAGATATACATCTAGCTCTCACCTGCGGAGGATATATCTATCTGAATAAAATGACATTCTTGTCAGCAATCTTTTTCATTAAAGCGTAAGATATGATAATGAGGCACCGAGGTCTTTATATACAAGGGATTTTTCAAAGATAGACATATGTCAAGTCGAAGAAAGATGCATGGGAATGTATGAGACAAGCCTATCGTGAAGCAAACCGGCTCCTCGAAGGGGTATTTACAAATGTAGTGAGGTAGAAGTGGCGAAGAATTAATGATGACGTGCAAAATTGTACTAGTGGTGGACTGGGTAGTATGTTGGCTAGAG